AGGGGCGCGCGCGGCGGGGGCGCGGGCCGGGGCCGCCGAGGCTCCTGGCGCCGCGCGCAGGCCGGGCCGGGTTGCGCGGGAGGCTGCGCAGTGGCGGCGCCGGCGGGCCCCGCGCGCCCCTCCCAGGACGCGTGCGCAGCGGCCGAGCGCGGGCGGCGCCTGCAGGCAGCACCGCGGACAGCTCCCGGCGCGCGCGGGCGGGGAACCCGGGGTCCCGGGGCTGGCCCGGACCAAGCCGGAGAGGCGCGGCCTGCGGGGGGCGCGGGAATTTTACCAGGTCGGCCTGGGGAGACAGACCCTGTGCCGCTAACGACTGCGGGAGCCACCTGTCTGGGCCTCAAACAGGCCGATTCTGGGTCCCCAGTTCCCCATCAGCTCGAAAGAAAGGAGGCCAGGAGACAGACGGCAGGGCGGGGGGTGTTGGGGGACGCCCCCAAGATGCCCGTAGTGAGGTGCAGGAGTGCGGTTTGCAGTCCAGGCTGAAGTGATTCCTCTGCGGGGGTCCTGGAATGCAACGTATGGGGGGAGGGGCAGATCGCGGAGGAGTCGGGGTCCTTGGGACTGGGACAGGGGTCATCCTCGGAGAGATGGGGAGGGTGAGGCCTGGTGTGGGCAGGAGGGGGTGGGCCGGGAGCTTCTGCAGCGCCAGCCCTCCCTGGGGACGTGTGTTACACCGCCTGACGCGGCCAGGACCCTGGAGCTGCATTTGTAAGATAAATAATGGGTGCCCCGAGCGCCTCATGAAGACATCTTTGCAGAGATGGAAGCCGCTGAGGCATTAATTAATTGAATTAATGCCTTTTCTAGCTTCTTTTAAGATTAAGTCACCTTTAGTTCAATTCCCAGAGTGAGGAAGCCCTAACATTGCTCCTCCTGGTTTAAAATTACATCAGCATTTTTGTTGCAAGCACTAAAAAATCTTTTTGTTTTATTGACTAAGTAATATATGCTCATTTCTTCAGTCAAGTAACAGAGATATGTATACAATAAAACAGAAAGCCTTCTCCTCCACCCCCTCCCAACCCCTCACACTACCAGGGGTGACCACTTTAATAGCCTGCCATCTATTTTTCTAGACATTTTGCTAAGCACATAAGCACACTCACACAATTAACAAAAATGCTTCATGCCATACGTAGTTTTTTGAAGGCTGATTCTTTTTTTCAGCAAAATGTCAAGGACATTATTCCCTGCCTACATATACAGCTATTTTGCTCTTTTTAATAACTGCATAGCACTCCACAATCCAGATGATCCCACAATTTTTGTAACTGTTCCTCTTACGGTGGGTGTTTCCCATCTCCCGCTTTCCTGTCTCAAATACTGTCACGTGAACAACCTTGGGTGTGTATGTTTGTGTGCTTGTACCGGCATTTTTATAAGAGAAGTTCTTAGAAGAGGAATTGTTGGGTCATGGGGTATGCACATTTAAAATGTTGACAAAGATTGCCAAACTGGATTTAAAAATGTCCAAATTTACCCTCACGTCTGAGTTGTAGCCCCCTACCCTCCTCACAACAGCTGAGAAACAGCAGTTGTGTTCAAATCCTGCCGGTCTTCACAGAATGTGCTCGCTGCTGTGGAAACTCAGACGCGCTTAGCACCAGGAGGCTGAGCATATCTTCTTCGGCTTATTACCCTTTGCAACTTATCTTCTGTGGATTGCATTTCATTTTGCAGTGACTTTAAAGCCAAACCTTGAAGGACGGCCACGCTTCTTTTGGAGAATCCACTCAGAGTTTTTACCACTCTTGGAGTATCCCCAATTCTCCCCAAAGGAAGCCCACTCAGGAAATTCACCCCTACCCCTAACTTGGGCAAGAGTGGAAATCCCATGCACTCATTATCCAGCAGTTTGACCAATTCGAACACAACTGAGCTGTTACACTTCCAGGCTTTGGCCAAAACGAAGGAGACCAGGACCACTGACAGGGAAGCACCACCCTGGAAAGCACAGATTCCGTCAAAAAGATTCTTAAACATCTGTCACTTTAAAAGGTGCAAGACTCTGGAGTTCTGTGATTTGTTCTAGTTAACCTTCAAAAATCAAAGACTTCTCTTGTTGTTTGTATTAATCGGGGTTCTCCAGAGAAACAGAATCAATAAGATGGAGAAAGAGAGAAAAAAAGAGATTTTAAGGAATTGGCTCACATGATTTTGGAGACTGGTAAGTCTCAAATCTGCAGGGTGGGCTTGCAGGTTGGAGACCCAGGAAAAGCCAGCAGAATTCCCTCTTCCTGGTGGGGGGAGGGGGGTGGGGAGGTGGGGTCAGTCTTTGGTTCTATTCAGTCCTTCAACTGATTGGATGGGGCCACTGCGATAGTTCGAATGTTTGTTCCCTCTGAAATTCATGTAGAAACCAGCAATGTGGCAGTGGGGCCTTTCAGAGGTGATCTGGTCCTGTCCTTATGAATAGATGAGTCTCTTCCTGGCTGAGTGGGTTGTCACAGGACTGGGACTGCTGACTTTATAAGAAGAGGAAGAGCGATGAGCTGGTACACTCAGCCTCACCACCGTGGAGGCCTGAACCATCCTGGGACGCCACAGCAAGAAGACCCTCACCAGATGCAGCACCCCAACCTTGGACTTCCCAGCCTCCAGAAACTGTGAGAAATAAACGTCTTTCCTTTATAGATGACTCACACTCTGGTAATCTATAGCAGAAAACCAACTAAGACACCTACCCACATGGTGGAGGACAATCTGATTTACTCAAAGTTCACCGTTTAAATGTTGGCCTTGTCCAAAAGTGCCCCCCCAGAAATATCCGGAATAATGTTTGACCACAAATCTGGCACCTTGGCCCAGCCAAGGGAACACATAAAATGAACCATGTCTTTAGTGAAGTGATTCCAATCTATAGAAAATGTGGAAAACTCCGAAATTCACTTTTAAAAGCCAAGATTACATTAATACCAAAACCTCATCAAAATTGTGGGGGAAAGAAAGAAATAGGAAATTTCATATACAAATATGGATGCGGAACACTTTCAAATAAAATATTGGCAAACTGAACACAACTCAATGTATTAAGAAAGTAAGAAAACATGAATGAGTAGATTTTATTCTACAAATGAGAGAACAGCTTTGCTTTTGGAAATCTATCAGTGATATGCTACATCAACAAATAAAGGAGGCAAGCCCACCTTTTTGTGTCAAGGAATATCAAAATGCATTTCCTATCATCGAATACCCGCTCCTGATTAAAAAAAAAAAAAAAAAAAAAGAAAGAAAAGAAAAGAAAACCTCTATGTAAAATAAAACTACCTACATGTGGCCAAGACTACCTTAAAACACCATTGTAAATCTGCACTCGTTCAAATCAGGAACACACAGGAATGCTCACTGTTGCAACTATTATTGACCATTTTGGGGGCAATTCTACCTAATAAGCAGTATAACTATGGAAACAAAGAGGCAAAATTATCTTTATTGGGGGATACTATGATTCTACACCTAGAAATCCTTCCCAAGACACTCTATAAAAATATTAGAATTTGCAAGCTAATTTTGTTCTGGGTCTGAAACTTGGCTTAGATCCAGGTGTCATGGCGTCTCAGGTCAGGCTGCCCTGGGGATGGTTCCCTTCATGTCCTACGAAGGTGTCAAGAGCACCAGAGTGTGCAGCGCCTCTGCCTTTTCTCCAGGGAGGCCCAGGCCTGGTGTCCCTCTCCTACGCTTTCTGTTGGTCAGGACACGCTGGCTCCGTCTTTGACCTTGCTGCTCATTGGGATACCTGAGCTCACCTTGCTCCCGACGATTAGGTGGCCCCCCCGGTCTGTCTTATCCGGGATCCCACCAGCCGCAGTGTTCTCAGGGCACCCAGTCCTGTGACCCAGCTCCGACCATTATCCCGCTGAGCTTCTCTGTGATTCTGCCCCTCGCCAGCGCACCTTTCTTGCTCTGGTAGATGGGGACTCCTCTGCAGCAGCCCTGCAGCCATCCGGGAGCGCGGCTTCGGTGAGTGCTGCAGCCTTTGCAGCTCATCCACTGGAGCACACCCCTATCGGGGCCCTCACACCCTCTCCGGCCATCTGTCCTGGCCATTCTATTTTATAGGAGTGAGCAGCCACCTTCCAAGCTTCTCAGAGCCCACTTAGATGAGTTTTCTGTCACTGCTGCCACAAATTACTACAACTACACAAATGAATATCAGACAGTTCTGGAGGCCAAAACGTCGGGGGGTCAGGAGTCTAAAATCAAGACATCTGGAGGGCTTTGTTCTCTCTGGAGGCTTCAGGGGAGAATCTGTTTCCTGGCCTTTTCAGCTTCTAGAGGTTTCCGTCTTCCTTGACTATTGGCCTCCTTGCTCTGTCTTCAAAGCCAGCAACACCAGTCCAGCCCCTCCCATGCTCTTCCCCTCTGGTCTCTGCAGCTGGAAAAGGCTCTCTGTGCTGACATTAGACCCCTCTGGATAATCCGGGATGCCCCCAACCTGAGGTCCTCAGCCTTAATTCCATGCACAGAGTCCCTTTTTCCATAAAAGGGTAACATACTCATGGGTTGCAGGAATTGGGATGTGGACATCTTTGGGGCATTCTTCCGTCTGTCCTACCATCCTAGGAACACGT